CTTTGGGATTGTACTCCTATGTCTCTGATCCACCTTGAGTTGTTTTTTGTATATGGGGTGAAATGTGGATCCTGTCTCAGCTTTTTATAGGTAGTTGTCCATTTCTGCTAATACCATTTATTAGTAAAGAGGCTATCACAGTAGCCACTGAATAGTTAGAATGGTTAATTTGGGGATTCTCAATTCTATCCCATCCATCCATTTGTTCTTGTGCCAATATCATGTTGTTTTGATTACTATGGCTGTGTAGTGGGTTTTGAGATCGGGGAATAAGATGTATCCCACTTGGTTTTTGTTTTCTGAATACTTTTCGTATGAAACTGAAAATTGCCTTTTCTACCTAGTTGAAGAATGAATTTGGTATTTGTGTTAGGACTGCATTGAATCTGTAGATTGCTTTTGGTAGGATTATAATTTTCACAATTTTAGTCTCTCTCCTGTAATCTAGTGGCATTTAGAAGGCCGTATGTTCACAGCCCGTAAACACCTTCTACTGCTTGCTTCTCTTCAGCTAACTGCTACTTATCTTTAAGCTCAAGTGGAAGGTCATCTCTGATGTCCTCTCCTGACCACAAACAGGTTCAAAACCTGAAACTGTATTCTGCTGCCAGTGGTTTGCTATCGGTGAGAGCAGACCTTGTTTTAGTTGAACTAAAATCTCCATGGTAAAACAGCAATTGGTACAGAGTGGGCAGTCAATACATATTTGCGTAATTAGCAAATGAATGAATAAAAAATGAGTGAAGAGACTAGAAGCTGCTCCTCTGTCATTCCATCATTTGGATGCCCCGCTGCTTTCAGATTAACAGGAGGCCTTGTTCATTTTTCACCAGACATCAGGAATGACTCTACGGAGTCAGTGCGGCTCATTTGAAGTCTGGGCTCAGAGAGCTGAGGGTGCCAAGTGATGCAGTGTCAGAAGCTCCCTGCCTGTGGCTCATTCTTCCTGAGGCACAAAGACCACACCACTGAGCGTGGAACCCTCCTCCCTCTTGATGAAGACAGTTCAGGAACACCTCTCCATTGGTGACAAGGACAGTGACATTGTGTATCTGTGTAAGGACTTGTAAATATGCATTTAGAAAAACAATGGGAAAGAGAAGTATTCCCTGAAAGGCTTTGTCTTTTTTTATTTAGAAAAGTATTTCCTGGAGTTTTCAGCTCATGCATAGGCACATGATTTCTTTTTAATATTATTTTGTTATTTTACCTTTCTTTACGTCACAGCTGTCAATACTCAGAAATGGAAAAGGCAGACTAGTGAAGTTCAGTCCTCTGCAGATTCTTCTTCGAGTGTCTGTCTGTCTGCTCTGACTCCTTCATATTCAATGCTTAATCAAAAGCCCAAAGCTCTCCCAAAGGGCAAAGACAAGTAAGGGGGAGCTCCCACTGACATAAGTATGCTCTCCCCTGATACTCTTTTACCTTTCTAAGTGTGGGAGTTCTTAGTCAGACTTAAAAATTCAGTGACCCTGCATCCTTATCACCATGGTGTTGGGACCAGAAGAGAATATAAAAGTGATCACCCTTAGAAAATTCAACTTTGAAAAACATTTTACATAGCTACAAAAAAAGAAAAGATATAAATGTAATAAATCAATGTAAGATTTTTAAGACTTCTTTTAGGGGAAAAATGACAAAATTTTATCAAAAAGCATGAACTATAAGAAGACCCATATATAGAAAGTTTATGTTTATTGATAAGAAGACTTAAAATCTCTCAGATACAACTCTGTTTCTACTGAGTTACAAAGCAGATATAATTCCTATTAAAATCTCACAGGGCTTATCCTGGAACTTAAATTTTGGTGCTGAAATTTTTAATGGAACAGAGAGGCTAGAAAAACCAGTCACTCCAGCATAAAATGATTATGCGGCCACAACAGTGAGCTGTTTTCCAGAAGCAAGATGCCAGCAGTCCTTGGATAGTGAATGCTCAACTTGCAGACAACTCCTGCTTATGCTTTAAAACCCCCTCATTTCTATGGAGTGAGAACCAGTGCATAACTGGCCTTCCAGTATGTTCTCAGAGGCTATAAGGCACAGGAGAGGACACTGTCTATCTTTCTCCTTCAGAGCAGCTGCTGGATTCAAAGCACCGAAGAGGTGCTGCCTGTGGGCTGGAAGCACAGCTCCCTCAGGAGAACTAGGCCATCAGAGCTTGCCCTTTCCATGGTGTGTGTGTATATTTACCTTCACTTTGAAACCGCTGGACCAGCCCCTGCTCAAGGCAGACGTCTCAGCCACCTTCACTTACCGCATGTGCAATGCACCCCTTGTTCCAGATTGCTCTTATACATAAAATGTGTAATCATATATCCAACAGTTCTTCCCCTCATCTATTCCAATGCTGTGGTCATTATCTATCCACTCTCATTCTTTTGAAAGCAAGAGTGGCATCCACTTCCTAAATAAAATGCCTGTGGAAACGCTATGAACTTTGATAAATGATCACAGTTATAGAAAGGTTTCAGGCCTTTTGTTCATAGTGTTGCTATGAGTTGTGCTCAATTCTACAGCAACCAACAACAACAAAGGGAAGATATTTTCCTCTATTATGACCCATTATAAAGTTCCAATAATAAGACAGTCTAGTCTAATGCAGTAATAGACACATGGACCAAGAGAAATAGAGTCACCAGATATACACTTTCATGAAAGAAAATTTCCTAAATGTCCCTGTAGATTAGTAGAGAAGGATGGATTCTTCTCTAAAAAGAATGCTGGAACAGCTCATGATATAGCAAACAAGCAGGATCATTATATCTTACAAGGCAATTTCAGATCAATTAAGAATAAATGAAAAGCAAACATTAAAATTTCTAAGTGAAAAATATCTTTAATATAATGTGGTACAGAAAGAGTATAAAAGAAAAGCTCAGAAAAATTTTAAGTGTATTAATTAATTAATAACTCAAAGGGAAAACCCAAATCCACAAAATTCAAGGCATTTGCAACACACAACAATGAGAAAGAATTAAACAACACATTTATTGCTGAGGAGCTGGAACTGACTCATAGATGACCCTCCTGCGGGGATTTTGGAGGCTGTAAATCACCCAGAAGAAGAGGGGAGATTCAAATTGCCTGGCTTTGGATTAGCCTTGCAACTCCATACCCATAACACCACCAAATAATTTAAGAATCAGTAAGAATGAACAAAGAAACCAAGGAGGAAAAATAGATGAAGAAACATCTCCTAGAAACATTTATTTAATTTTAAAAGAAATGGAAATTGCACAGTAACTCTGGGAAAATATGGATTATCACTATTACAGAAATAAAAATGAATAATTTATATCATACTTCATATCAACCAAATAGACAAAAATTAAGACTAGAGGGTAGAATGCAAAATAGCAGGAGTTCTCATACCCTGAGGCGGGAAGAAGCCTTAGTGCTGCCATGCACGGTGGCTCATGAGTGTCTTTGATATTCTTAGGTAAGTATGTGTGACTGACCAAAAACCAAATACAAAAAGAAAACCTACCCACTGCTGTAGAGCCAATTCTGACTCAGCAACTTTACTGCTTGTATTTTCACTCAAGTGTTTAAATTTTTAATTCTACATAAAACTACTTAATGTAATTAGTATACTAATTCTTTTTCTGTCACACATATTAAACTGTCATTTTTTTACACATACTAAACTTGGTCATTTATCCTTAACTTTTGCTTTGTGTTGCTTTGACAGGAGCAGCTGTGGATTAGAACTACCTACAAATCTGCCTTTGGTTGGCAGCACAACACTTTACCCTAGTGGCAGCACTAGGTCTTCAGAGTACCATAATATATTCAGGCTATTAATCCTTTCTCTGATACAAATAATAAACTTTTAGTTTACCTACAACTTTGTTTGTTTTACAGTTTTAAATTTATATACAAAAGCCGTTGCTGGGTTACAACTTACAGACAATCCTCACTTGCACTTTAATGAAAAGATCTGGATTTGATTCTGTCATGCAAATGAAGTGAATAGGAACAGACTAGAATTTTTATAATTTTAGTGGTTGTCACAGTAACTAGAATGGGAACTATAGCTAAAGCCTGGAAAGGAGACTTAAAAGAGATGTAGGGGAGCCCTATTAGGTGCCTGATTCATGAGACTGTATTGGCAGAATTGTGGGGAGCCACTACATTCAAAGAGATGTAGTCACAGCTCCTATCTTTGAAGTACTGCTTTAATGTTATTAAACTTTGAAGTGACTGAACTAATTCCTACATGCAACAAATTCTTCATTACAATCACCTTCACCTGCTACAGGACCATCATGTAAGTCACTGAAAAGGTGTGAAGCTTTTTTCTTAAATTCTCATTGTCACCCAATTGGAATTTACTCATAGTTGACTCTCCAGTAGGTTTTCAGACCCTGTGATCACACAGGAGGAGACTGCTCATTTTTCTCCTGTGGATTTGAACACCCTGGCTTTGGGTTGGCAGTCCAACTCTTTTTCCACTAGACTACTACAGGTGATAAGAACTAGATCCACATATCTGTTACAACTTACAAATATGACTGAAAGATACACTTAAGAACTGCCTATACTTATGTATGTACAACTGTTTATATGTACATATGTGTGTGTATGTTTATGTATTACCTTTATGATTTATTTTCTGATACATAACTATTAATATCTATACTTAAAGGATTCAACTCACCTTTCCTTTGTCCCTCATATAAGAATCCTTTCTTTAACTCAAGGTAAAAACAATTTCCGCAAGTGATTAAGTAATAATAAACAGAATAATAATAATAATTCTTACCTATAATTAAGATAATTGATAATAACGCACATTATAAACAGTAAAGCAACACGTGTTAATTGATGGTAATTATTACAATCACACAAGTTTTATACAGGTAACCTGAACAGAAGCACCTGGGAATAACAGTTTGAAATTGAAATACATGAGATAGTATGACATAAAAGTGTGTTTCCCACCTCCCTTCCACTGCAGGAAAGCAGCCACAGCAAGGACAAGCCCTCTTACCTTTCTACTCATCCCCTTCTTCTGCCAGCTCTGTCTCTTTGTGCACCACCACTCTCGTGACCGACATGTCGGGGTGCTGCTCTCTGGCTTCCTTGATCGCCTGGGCCAAGGCCTGCCAGCGTCAGGACAGAAAACAGATAGAAGCTGAGGACTGGGACCCACCTCAGGATGACAAAATACATGCATACTCATAAAAAGTCAAAATACATTCATCTTCAGACACAGGAAGTTGCTTATAAATAGGCTCACTTGAGTTCATTATTTTAGAGAATGTATCTCACTTTCTCTGGCAATAATGAAACATGTAGAAGAAATAGGTTGACTTGGAATCCAAGTTTTGACATTAACTGTGAGGCTTAATGAAAACAGTTCTCTAAGCCTTAGTATTTTCACCTAATACCAGAAATAAATGCTAAGGTTGAAAAGATCACTTTAAGGTTTACTAAAGACAGTATCCAGGTAGGTAGGAATCGTTGTGTGCATTCCTTATGTTGCCCTACATTAGAGCACATCACGCTTAGTGTCTGACCTGCCAATCTAATGATACTAGCTATTACCCAAGTACTTGAACCACCAACCCACAGAACCAGAACTTGGTCATCCCTACACTGTCTTAGGTTCTCAATAATGACTTAAACGGAAATGTTGCAGAGAAACATCTATAAATTATAAACCAAGACAATGAACAAGCTAAAGGGCAGCAACAACAATAATGACAAAAACAGAGAAAGACCAATTTTTAGATCATAAAAAAAAAAAAGTGAAGGCTTCAGTCAGTGAGCAGCTGACTGCGTCAGAGAATGCTGACCACACTATGCAGATATAGACAGGGTTTCTGTTTTATTGTAAAGTATGCTGTAGAAAATGTGGTAACAGAGAAAGAAAGAACATGAACAAAGGGTATTATTTTCCAGAGGAAAAGGTGGAGTTTGATAATTTATTTTTTAAAGAAGTCTTTAAGAGAAAGTAATAAATAACGAAAGGCATAGCACACCAAAGTTTCAGGAAGACTACGAAGAATTCGCTGGCGTACAGAATACTGTATCTCATAAGGAAACAAAGCATTTGAACACCATGATTATTTTTTCTTTTCCTCTGTGACCTATATCTAAGGGGCAAATGCATTTCTTGTTTATGTTATAGTTTCTATGTGCTATAACTCTACTACTAAGCAACACTTGGGATGTCATTCTATAAAAAACAAAGAGGAAAAAAGATAAAAAAAGATAAAGCCTTTTTAACATTCACAATTTTCACACAAAAGCTTGGAATAAATGTGAGGGTGTTTCAGTCTTCAATAGTGAAAAAGAGAAATCAAACATAGGCCTGGCTTCAACTCTGAGCCACAGAAGAAGAGTTTTGTCAAGTGCGCCAGAGGGAAGGCCAAAGAGCAAGAGAGAAGTGAACACAAGGGCCGGCACCAGGTCTGGCTGGGAGAGTTCTTCCATGTGCTCACCGGGGGCACAGCTCAAGTCTGGTTCTAGCAGTTTTTTCCCTTCTAAAGTGTTCAGATGTGTAGGAATAGGGACAGAAAACAAACTATTTAATGCACGGTGATTTGTGAGATCCAAATTGGAAAACATCAAGGACAAGCTCTGAGCAGATACAAATCATCAAATGCCATAAAGATTCACCTAAATTATAGCAGGATGATATTAAATAGGAAACATAAATGATCACAATGGAAGATAGTACACATAGAATGTACTGCACTTAGCAGAAAACCAGGAAAAAACCAATTTTGATAATCATCCTCAAATACTAAAATCAGTTTACCATTGCTCCTTTATATCATTATTGTCAGAACATGAAGAATGAAGTTTGAAATTAAAGTTGTTCTAAATGTCTCCAGTAGTTCCATATATTGCCTGCTTTAACCAAGCATTCCGCCAACACTAACATCAGAATAAAAGCAATGTCAATTTTTAAAATGTTTTTTTCTGAATAAATTTAAAATGTTCACTTTGTTAAAAACCACTGATTAACCCCAAATAAAAGAAGCTGATCAGAAAAAACATCTAGTGGTGAACAGCCGCTTGCCTGGAGGTTCCGGAGCGGTGGTTCCACTTTACAAGTTGGTTTCTTGTCGAGGGTCACGTAGGGAAAGTTTTGGGGTTTGTGTTGGTCTGTGTTTGGTTTGTGTTATTAGTTTTTCCCCCTCCACAAGCAGGTGTCTGTTAGCTGGCTGGACGTCTGCTTGCCAATTTTTAGCCAACAAGGACCCAAGTGTGGAGGGAATACTTGGTTTATCATAGTCAACAGCATTTGTTGGGTGTGCTTTAAAATTCCGTAGGGCCACTGGGACAAATGTACTGTTAGAGTGAACATTCTTTAAGTGGTACAGCAAGTCATCTATTTGCTGTACTGAATAACTTAGAGTTGCTGTGATGTTGAACACTGTGCCAATAGTTGTGTCATATACCATAATGGTTACCCATCGTGAACAGTATTTGGAGGAGCTTCCAGATTGATTCAGGTTTGGAAGCAGGAGTAGCATCCACTTCCTAAACCAGACACCTCTGCAAACTCTATAAACTTCATAAACTATCAAAAAGAGTTCAGGGTTTTTATTTATCTGGTCACTACGAGTTGTATTTGACCTGACGACACTTAACCACTGTTAAGTGAGACTAGTGCTTTATTTTGGAGGGACATTCTTCTACTTTCATACATCACTCTTTGTCAATTTGCTGTACTGAGGTAAACTGGGTTTACTGTGATGCTGAACCTTGTGCCATCGGGGTGTCAAGTGCCATAATGGTTTCTCAATGTGGACAGTGTTTGACTGAGCTCCAAGTTGTAAAACAGGTTTGGTAGAAGGAGTGGCTTCCACTTCCTAAACCACATGCCTATGGAAACTTTATCAACTTGGAGAAATGACGATAGTTATAGAAAGGCATTAGGTCTTTGGTTCATGGAGTCACTATGAGCCGTTTTCGACTCGAAGGCAATCTACTACAACAATCAAACAATATTTTACAAGTTCCCCAGAGAGAGCATTAGTCAAATTTAGTGTCTTTTCCCATTTTTGGGGAGTCAGTAACATTAAGCTGTCATTTGATTTTTAAAATCTGATGATGTGCCTTTTCAACTCATCCCACATGAATACTTAATGATTGCACAGAATCCTCTAGATTATTTTAATCAAAAAGTGCATATAAAGTCGGGAAGTAAACAGCAATCTCTATTTTAAGCTCATCACTGCTAGGAAAGTTAGGAAGACGGGTGTCCAGACTGTGAAATGTCTTTACAATGCGCTCAAGAGGTACTGGGGGAGGGGATTTAAACAACAATGTAATATGATAAAAAGTGTAACACTTAGAGAAGAACATGGTCACTTTCAGAACTAGACTCTAAGGACTTTACCTGGTCATGGTCAATATCTGCATCTCCTGTAATCACAATACGTTTCTCAATTCTTGTTTCAGATATTCCACCTTTCACAGTCTAAAGATCATAAAAAAGAAAAAACACCCAGTCATCACTAGTGCATGCAGAAACCAAAGAGCAACAGCACACCTAAAACTTCTGGTCATCGTAAGCCAATACATGCCTAATGTGCAAATGCTGATGTGCTGGGGACTGTCTGGCTTTACTTCTTACCTCACAAGAAATTTCAATTGTTAAGAATGACACCTCATCACAATGAATTCAAAGCAATCTTAACTAGTGTCTCAAAATTTAGGTGAGACTAAGATAGCATGGCTGATACCATCCAAACCAAATAGTTTCACAGCAACGTTCTGTCACAATTTCCTGCATTTCTTCCCTCTTTTAATGTAAAATTTTGAAAAAGTGATTGGAAAATGGAGATAATTAGTCAGCATTTGTGCAGTTCCAAGAATTTTAAGAATTTAAGTATTTGTTTCAGGATTGGAAAACTGATGTTATAGTTCAAACTATGTAACTGTGGACATACAAATTCCTTTGGCAACGTTCTTCATTTCATTTTGTTTAATAGTTATGACATGGAAGATGGATTAGGCTTATACCAAGCTTTCTGCTACATGTTTAAATCTTATCCAGGGGTTGTGACTAGGCATGAAACAGTGCTAAACACAGGCTGTGTGATTATATGAAAGGACCAGGGAGAAGGCGCTCCCAGATGCATGTATCCAGGGTCACGGGCTTGTTGGCAAACTAATACAGCCTGGGGCACACGGTACCAGGCTGACAAGATCATGTGACTGTGACATTCTAAACAGAGAAGGATCAGATACTACACAATTTTGGAAAAGGACACGTCGGACCTCTACAACATTGGTAGATTTAAACAGAAAATCAGTTAAGTCATGGCACTTTGCTGCAAAAACAAGGCTTATCACTAGCTTTAACAATTATACACACTATTAAATGAGTATCCATACTATCTTGCATTTATGTGGCATTTTTTAATTTAAAAAGCTTTGTTTTGCTTCTTCCTTTTGTTCTTTTCTTTAAATTTAAATACAAGGTGGTGGTGGGGATGGGGATACAGAATAAAGGATATCTTTACAAACGTTAATCATTTACCAAGTACAAAAAGTTGAAGACTGAGGAGATGCTGGGAAGGAATTGAGGGAGAAATTTGATGACTTTAACACACATGAGAATCAGCTGGAGGGTTTCTCAAAATATTTTGAGGGTTATTAGCAAGTTTGCAGAATAAACACCTTTCCAGGTGCCCAAGCGGCAGCGATGCTGCTGATCCAGGGATCTCACTTTAGAATCACTAGTATAAGGTATTACACACTCAGAAAATGCTCTACAAAATTGCTCAAAATCAATGCACTAGTATCTTAAACAAATGAGGGAAAATTTACATTATTTTAATGTAATTAAATTTCTATTACTTTAAAACGTGTTGTAAGCTGTGAATGATGGTTTTTACTCAACCAGTAAGGCTCATTTGTACTCACCCAATTTGTGCTCCCACTTTCATGAAACTCTTCATCTGTTGTCTTAAGAATAGCTATTCATAACCCATTTTTACTCCCTTGTATGATAAAAAATTGCAATCTGATTTGCACATGCTTGTCAATGGAGCCTTAATTTCTTTGATACTTGAAATTATTTTCCCTCTCCTGGCACTGTCTGTGTAGTACTTGGAAGTGTGTACATGAGCAAAGAACCAATTCAGGCCAGACTGGCTGCAAAGCACCATCGTCTCCATTGGACCCCCTGGTTGCTTTACCTTCGTGATGTGTGTGGTGGTTGTTGTCGACACGGACTCAGATGTGATGGTTTGTGCAGTCAGTAATGTGCCCGAATCACCACCAGCCCCGCCATCAACCTTCGGGTAGTCAGGGGAAAATACAAAGTAATGTTTAACGTCCAATATGTTGTCCAAGAATCCCTTCCCCACTGAACATACGTCCTTTAAAATTTTATGCAGTTGGCAAAAGATGGTATCTGCATATTCTATACATATTGATGGTGGCAAGATACAAGAGATTGGCTGGAAATCAAAATGGAATAAAGGCAAAGGACTGGATGAATATGCAGAAGGAAATCCAGTCAGTTAAAAGGAAAAGAGCCAAGTAGCAGGTAAAGCTGCATCCAGAAACTACAGGAGTCATCAGAGAATAAGACATGAAGGCCTTCTGCAGAAGCCAAAAGAGAAACTAGAGAGCCAGGCAGAGAGATTGCCACAGTGGCCAGAAGGATTAAGTTGCTCTTTTGTTACTGATTTTTAAGCACAAGTGGATAAAAATAGAGAAATATTTTCTCATATTACTAGGCAGAAGACTCTGGAAAGGATGGACTTGAGCCATTTCCTCAATTGTTTATGTCCAGCAGGATTTTTTAAAACTATAGAATCTACAGACGGGTACACACAGAATTCTTGAGTGGCACAGTGAAGCACCTGACTATTAGCTGAAAGGCTGGTGTTTCACACCCACATATAGGCACCTTGGAAGAGAAGTCTGGCTACCTTCTTCTGAAAGATTACAGCCTTGAAGATCCTATGGTGCAGTTGTCCTTTGCACACAGGGGATTACTGTGAGTTGGAACTGACTCAATGGCATACTAGTAACAACAACATGGGCACACGTATTGCAGTATGTATGCATGCAAACATTCTAGATACAGCATATATATAAAGTCCATGTATTTATCAGACTATAATTTTATTTACTTTATACGGTACTGGAAAAGATCATTCTAGAGCCTATCAAGAAACAAAAGATAACTCAGCTTAAATTATTAATATCCAAAACCAATTTTCTCCTGAACCAGAGTCTTTCCAACGTGAAAGAAGATGAAAAGACGGTACCAACTGGCTCATAGAGTTGTATCATATCAGAAGGGCATTTACCACAATACAAATACACACACTCATGTTCTCCCTTGATGTCTATTCCTAAGAAATTTGTGCTCTTGTAGGGTCTATGCACTCACATGAACAGCATGACCAAAATAATTTTGAGAAACATTTCACATATCCAGTAAATATTTTAAAAAATATTTTGAGGCGCAGTATCTGCCATCCTCCATTATGATCCAATTACACTACAGAATTCTACACCTGCTGATAGAGGAAACTGCTATTGTGTAAATTTTTAAACCATTCCATTTTAAATTGGTGAATACTATTGTAACCCTTCAGGTTAGACAGCTAAGGGCTTGCTTCTAATCTTCACAGAGTCAATGTCTCCCAAGCTAAAATAAAATTAAAATGGATAACTTACATAAACAATGACTCAGAAAATGATCCCATGAGAAAGGCAAGCACACATACATGCACACCTGCATTGTGTGAGTTCATTAGGTTTGTTTCCAAGAGTAAGGGGAAGGGAACAGCCAGTATAGCCTACTGATTCGCTAACTTTAGCTGGTCTAATAAACTTTGTAAGGTACCATTTATGTGCCAAGTACACAAAACATCTGTGGATGTGTCACGCCAGAAATAAACAATTTTGATACTACTTATCCTAAATAATCCTATGCTCATCCTATAATTACTGGGTAACCAACTGGATTGTAACTCACTAAATCTAAGAGCATCACCATCAGTTATGGGGTTACTGTAATATGGTTATAAATTGGAGATTAAAAAACCCTAAATACAAACAATATCAAAGTCAGAAACATATAAATCAGGAAAAGAAAGAAATAAGCTGAGTGAAAAGTAACTCAAATAGTCCAAGTCTAGAACTTCTGTACCTGTGGAGACTCATATGTGATGGTTTTGGTCTCAGTTTGAACAATGGGGACTTCCTTGGTGGAGATTTCTGTCCTTTGTGAGGCATCAGAAATGGTAACCATCTCTGTTTTTACCACTGGTGGCTGAGGTGAAAAAAGGAGGGAGAAATAAATTCTAGAGATAAGGAAATAAAAGTGCTTAATGGAGCCTTCAAAATAATTGTAAAGAAACATCCAAGCACACTCTCATGCACAAAGAAAAAAAAGCAAAAAACCTAAAATAAACAAAAGATATAAAAGAAAGTATATATATATATGAATGACAGAGAAAGATAAGCTAACATAATGGTTTTCTAACCATGACACATTTCAAATTAAGATGACCCAAACGAGTTAAATGTTTGGTGTACAGCGATACATACTCTAGCTTTAGACAAGTAATAATAAAATAGAAAACAACAGAATGAACTGTGTGAAGTGGCCTGTCTCTACTTTTACTGTTGTTTAAAGAAGCACATGATATGTGTAAAGGCTCATTTACTTTCACTGGCTCACCATCTAGGTAGGTTTGTTCTTTTCATCAAAAAAGCCTTCTCTGACTTATTTGCAATGGACATACCATTTTTGGGAAGAGTCACTCCATATGGGTGTGATTTTTATTATGTTGTTGTTGTCAAGTGCAGTTGAGTCGTAGACGACTCATAGTAACCCTATGAATGAAAGACCTGAGAATTGTTCATAGAGTTTCCGGAGGCAAGTCATTTAAGAAGTGGGTGCCACTCCTGCTTCTAAGCTTGTTTTAATCAAGAAGTTCCACCAAACACTGCCCACTATGGGTAACTATTATCGCATTTGGCATATCAGTGTCACAGCGTTTAGCATCACAGCAACCATGAGTTACCTCTGTACAGCAATGCACAGACCAGTGCTCACCATAATTATAACATCCTAAAATATTTGTTCTTTTTGTTAGGTGCTGTTGTTGTTGTTGTTGTTAAGTGCCATCGAGTCGCAGATGACTCACAGCAACCCTATGAAGGAGAGTCCTCAACGCTTGGGTGCCTTTCATCCTCTCTCCAGGTTCAAAGGGTTTCCAGAGGCAAGCTATTATGGAAGTGGTTGCTGAAGCAACCCTAAAAACAAATTTTTATTAACTTGTCTAAAATAGGCAATTTTTGTTGTATTAAAAAGTTAAAATGTTATATATTCAAATTACTCCACAAACATATTATTAATACTGACAATTTATAAGAGTACCCCTGAGGACTTGGAAGCATTGTAGTCTGCTGACTTGTATATGTTTACTATACTACCAGATTCTGTTTTCCAATATAGTAGTGTCCTAGAGTAAAAAGGTCCAGTAGGTATAATAACGTAGAGGAACAACTTTGTGTTAGTAAAAAAACAAACAAACAAAAAACCACAATGGTTGGAAGTAGTCATGGATTCTTAAAATGTCTTTGCTGGCATAAAATAGGAAGTTTAAACGTAACATAGCAAAAACCCATTAAATATCTGCAATTTTCTACCCTACTGCAGGATGGTCCTTTTAGCTATGAAAGTAAATCTTTGCTCAGTATAACTTTACAAATTCACGGGCACTAGATCTAGTAACAGGACTTAATCTAGGGGCAAGGAAGTTATCTCTTTTAGAAGAGGAGGGGAAAAGGCTTATATTCAATATAGAGCATCTACAAGACGGCATATATATCATCAACCTTTACATAAGCTAGAACTGACAATCTGACAGAATGAGGAGAGACATGGTGTAAGTATTCAGTAGACTAGCCTCTTGTTGCTTTGAAGGAAAGAGAAGATTTTCAACCAGAACCTACAATCTCTGGCATCTAAAAACCAGAAACCACTGTGACACACAAATCATCTTTTCATCACTTTCAGATGCTTCAACCACAGCACCACTGTAATTAAAGCCATGTCTAAGAAGCCTAAGTTGAAAAGTCAGAGAATGAGTGAAAATGTCAAATACAATCATGACAATAGAAAAATACATACACACATGTACACACACACACATTCACATTATGCTTTTTTTTTTTAAAAAAAAAGAACATTATATATATCATTTTCTAATTAAACTAACAAGAAGAGCATTTAGAGTCAGGAAGCAGTGCAACTAAGAACAAAAGAATTGGAAAAGCTCAAAACATGCAAAGAAAATTTTAAATGTGAAATGGACAGGGAAAAAACGCTATGGCTGTGATCAGCTTACCCTACAAGTGATACCCCTGCAGTGAAGAACTGAGCTGGCAGAAAGCTACAAAGCAACACCTTCCCCTTTCCTCCCATTGGAGAAGAGAATCCAAATCTTGCTGGGAGGTGGGGAGAAAGTTGAAGGAGAAATGGGAGGACAGGAGAAGGAAAGCAGGTGTTTTCACACCTGAGAAATAGCACCATTAAAGTTTAGCTCCCACTTGGGACTCCCATTTACCTCTGAACAACAAATAATTTGTGGCAAAACATCAATGTCAACATGAGACACCTCTCCGTTAACTTTGAGCTGCTCTTCCTCTGTTTCTTCTCTCATGTCTTGTTTAATATTGCCTTCATTTACACTCTTCTCTCCAGATAGCTTTTGGACAACTACATTTTCCTGGATCACTGTTTCTACTGGGATTGCACTGGCACCTGCTTGTTTGACTGGGCTGGCTTCTGGCACTGCTTCCTCCCTCTCTACTACCTTGGCTGCTCGGCCGGCCTCTTCCTCCATCTCTTCCTCATATTCCTCCTGCTCCTCTTTAATGGTGCCCTCGGTCACACGGTGGTGGGGGCGGTACTCTCCCACTTCTTCTTCTTCACTCTCACTGCTGCTGCTGCTCTCAGAAGACAGGGAGGTGGAGTCTTTCTGGGTCAGTGGCTCCACCTTCCGAATCTCCCCAGGACCACTCCCAGGTGATATCTCTTTACCGTTCACTTCTTCTGTGATTACTTTTTCGTCTTTCCCAACCTCTGCCCGCTTCTTCTCCTCCACTACATTCAGAGTCTCATGTGAACTCTGTATGAAAAACAAATGGATGAGGGAAAACAAAAATAAATGAATAAATAAAAGAGATGGAAACAAAAATGAACTGATGGTAGGTACATTCATGTCATGGAGGAAAACAGATGATTATGATGGCTGACTGAAAGGGAAGCGGGCAATCGTGAAGGGGTTGGAAACATCAGGCAATGGTGTTAACATGGAAAAGGGGAGAACCTTAACAGCATCACTGGCTCCAGTGCATGGCCCTTCTGACTCGGGAGCACGTTTCTGTGAAACAAAAAGCAACCAGGGACACAAAATCAATAAAGTTTTACCTCAACACCCACCAAAACAAATAACTGACACTGCAAAGACACAACAGGATGAAATCAACAGCCACAAAGACCTCTGCTCAAGGTCAATTAAAGGACAGCTAAGACAAGACAGACACCAAAAAGCTTACAAAAGGAACAGAGATACAAACACAACATCCTCCAAAGAAATGAAAAGGTTTTGTTTGAGCTGTACCTATAAACACTACTTATGTAGTTCACAAATAATTTTTTAAAAGTTTTATATTAAAGCTTACTTATCACCTGAACTAAAAATTTTTAAAACTTCTTCACAACAAAAGCTTTGGTTTCAATTTGTAAAGGTTACCCTAAGACTTATTCCTAAATGAAATGCAGCATTAAGGAGCTGACACCTTTATTCTGCTTGTTCAATGGCAAAATGATAATAAGCCCTAAACAGCTATTAATATGCAAGTGTTCACTTCAGAAAGGGTCCTTAACAGTACAAACTGTATTACAGAATAGTGACAGGATGTTACGACATCGGGTGATGTCAATAATGGCTCCTAAGTGCTTAGAATTTAGCTCCTCCAGTATTATCAGGGAAATCAGAAATGTTCTTTCTTACTCCATGCAGGTATTTGCTTATTCTAAGCTGAGTTTTTCAATCTCTCTTTACATATGTATATTGAGAGATATCTATCTATCCATCCATCCACCCGTATCTATAGAAATAATATCAATTACCATGTTATGGTATTTTTAACTGGGGAAGAAACTTTACTACAGAAAAGTTTTAAATTTTTCTTTAAACTGTTTATAGGAGGTTACTACAATGTTACTTATTTTTAAATGTTTTAAGTGGAAGTTTACAGAGAAAATTAGTTTTCATGTGATAGTGTGTACATAAAATGTCCCAGGACACTGGTTGTGATTCCCCTCATGTGTCAGCATTCACTCCCTAGCTTCCATGTTTCTGGGTTTTCAATCCCTCTTCTGCCTTCCCATCTTTGCTTTTGGACAAGTGTTGTCCTTTTGAGCTTCTGATTATTCTGATGTTGTATACCTGATTATTCTGATGTATGTTATACATTCTTCTCTGGTGTTACTGTTTGTTTCACGCGCCTATTAACTGGATGAAGGGTAATTTGGAAGAATGGCTTTAGTTTTAGGTCAGAGGCATTAACATTATAGCGCCATATTCGCAGGGATTCCTCCCATCTGTCAGACTGGTAAATCGAGGGGTTGGGAGGGGTAGTGTGATTTTGATCCTTTGTTCTACATTTTTCTTCCTCTCTTTCTGGGACCCTATGCTGCAATCTTTGTCAGTGAGGTCATATTTCTGTTTTTAGAAAATTGTTATTTTACTGTAAAATAAAGCTCAGCCAATCTTTTGACATTCAAGTGGCATAACAGCCTGTGACCTCACCTACAGGAAATATGCTAGAGACAGTAGCTCTACTTACTCAAGAAGCGTATCTCTACAACAAATCAAACGGAGCACAACCCCTCTCAATTTTCTGGCAGAGGGAAACCTTGTGAAGGTGCTCAGGCACTGGACTGGAGCTTCCTGTTTCCTGTAGCAGTGTCTTACTACAGACAGCAGGACCTCCAGCTTATCGGTAGCAGTGACATGCACAACCATGAATTCACAGTCCTAGAATGACACAGCTCTCTACAGCTTCTTTCAACATAGCTGCACATACTCTCTTTGGTTGAGCTGAGCATTAACTCTCAAAAGCATGGGAAGAGCATGTTTAATTGCTTAAAACTGCTATCATGTAAATCATGTTACTGACAGAAAAAAGGAGCACCTTTCCAATCTTATTAAAAAAAAACACAACAACCCACAAGTTTCAGACATTAAACTGGAAAAACTCTGAATTAATTTGGAGAAGTAATACTGAACTCTAATATTTATACAATTCTTTATTTATAAAGATGGCCAGGGATCAAAACATTTCTAAATCAGGTATTTCATTAGCATTATTATTAGATGCCAGTGGACTATTATTATTCCTTAGTAGGCTGGATGCATGCTGCCTCATTCCCAGATTTCTCAAAGAACTGCTTCTTCAACTATAAAAGACAACTCAAATTCTCTACATAAGGAATTTTGTAATAAATGCCATCAAAAGATGTCTAAAAGACACCTGAGCTTTAACAACAAGTTCTGCAAAGCATATTTAAATTTCTAGTTGTGTGGGGTTTCGGGTTCAGTAACTAACAAATATTCTGGAAATTAAAGTTTTAAATATTTCCCTGAACTCAGGTGTAGGCTTTGGTTATTTTGGGTTGTTTTTTTTGGGGGGGGAAGGGGAAGGTGATAGTAGAGTAAGGACAAAAAAGAAGGGAAATATTTCATCTATAGCTTTTCCTCCTGTCTAAATTCAGTCACCATTTCTTAATGTTTTCCCAGGAAAGGTTATTTTGTCAACAAAACAACTATATGGAAATTCCCCTACATATTAAAAAAAATAATCACTCTCATTTGTGGCTTTTAATAACAGGGAAACAACGTAAAATGCACCTCAGGCACCTGTGAGAAGGGCGAGGAAGCAAGCGGTTCAGGAGGTGCATTACAGTTCCCAACAGTGCCCTCTGCTGTCCAAGTGGAGGCTGCAGTGAAGGTGGCGCTCACGCTATCAGAAAAGCCCTTTTCACTAAACAAAATGGATGTTATCTCCTCTTCTAGGCTCTAGAGAGGTCAGAAAGGAAGAGCAAAGAATTAACTGTAAGTCAGAACGGACAGCAGTGACCTACTGAAAGAAAGGAAAGGTTAAACAAGAAAGAATAACAGAACAGCACAAACTGAAAGAAAGATGGGAATCTTGACAGAGTCTGTAGCAGGCTCAGGTGGAAATTAACCTATTCGGCCTTTCAACCCAACTTCACAATATTTGATAATTTTAACCTCCAGAATCCAGCCAAAGTCCTTGGTTTAGCATAAACCGAGCACAATTCACCTACCCATCAAACAGTACTTCACATATTCCTGAGCTAGCCTCTTCGTGTGAACCTTTTTCTACATAGAACTCTTCCTACACTTAAATGCTTACTCTTGGTTAAGAGCTTGGGTGATCCTACCTCTCCTACCTCCAGTGTCCTGCCCTACATACTTTGGTCTTTTCTTGTTTTGTCCCAAAGTCCATTTATTATTCTGCATTTTGCAAAGGCTCTTTGTTAACCATTCTAATGTGTCTCTTCCCTTCTCGTTACAACATGTAACTGTGGGCATAATAAGCAATTCCAACAGTAGTCCACAGTAATTTCTCTCACACATGCTATGTTACAGAATAAACTGTACTTTTTTAAAGGAAAATGTAAAAATTCTAAATAATATTTAATTTATCTATATAAGATAAACTCAGTGGGGAAATATGAAAAATACTCTTCCTTGAAAATCTATTAAGGAAAAATTAACACTTATCATTCTAGCCTGTAAGTAATGGCCCCTAACCTGGCTGATGACACCAGAGGAAAGCTGGGGACTGTCTTCTGGTCCCTGAAATGCCAAATGAGTTACCATGAAGCTGATCTTGTCAGAAGTGTGTGACACATAATTCCTAACAAAACTCCCTGCTCAGAATTCTTAAAAATTAATAATAATAATAATAATAATTTATTTGTGCCACTATTAGAACCTCTACTCAGAATATTATTGCTTTTCAATTTTTGACTCATGCACTTTTAACTTGTTAAATTTGTATCTTCTAAGCTGCAACACTTCCATGATACATCTTCAAGGATATGAAAATGTACGGCTAAGTACAATTGATAACAGTGCATCTAAATTCCAAAATCAATCTCCATAATAGTCTATGTGTTTCCTACTGCCAAAGGGGCCCTTTAGAGTAGTGAGAGAAGACCTTCACCCTGAAACCCACAGCATCCCTTTTCAACAGGAAGTAGCTAACTGAATACGCCATCCCCTTTTCCTTATGAATCAGGGTGAAGTCTCTCTCAGGGAGGAGTGATAGGGAATGGCAAGGGACACACTGACAAAGGAGATTAATCAGAACTGGCTTTGACAAGCACTGTGGCACTTGGACAATTAAAACAGACATGGGGGGGAAAGAAGAACGAACTGGGGAGTAGGGTGGAGAAAACAGTGCAACAATGAATGAATGAAACCCCAAAATCTCTGTAAATGTTCATTAAAACTAATAAAATGTAATAAAAAAATTAATAATAAAAAAATTGAAGAAATAAATAACATTTCTTATCTAGGATGGGTGCAAGGCAGACATAGGGAGGTGAGGAGAGTAAGGTGGTAAGTACCAGCAATATCGAAAAGATGGGGGGACTTTCAAATTAATTCACCTTAATCATAATCACATAATAACATCATCCTTGGAAGAGTAAATACAACAGCCTTGTAGCTGGAACTAGTGTAATGGAGTTTAAATAAGTGGCATATATTTAATTATTTCATAAAACATTCTCAAAGGTTCCCTAAAACAACATATTTCATGTATTCTCTAGTCAGACACAAGGAGAATAGTTTATACAAATTTAAGTGTGGTAAGGGAGCTCTAGTGGCCTAGTGGCAAGAACCTGCGTGGCAATCCAAAAGGCATGTGGTTCAAATCCACCAGAGGGGCAATCTCCTTCTGGGCCAGTTGGCTCTGACTCGACAGTACACATTAAGAAGAAGAAAAAAAAAAAAAGAGTAAAACCAAAAATTTTTTAAAAACCCAACAAATTTGGGTGTGATATCTCAATGTATATGGATATAAAAACAAAAAGGGTATAAAATAAATCTACTTGCCTGCTAAACAGTAAATAACTTAGTTTTCTATTTTCTGCTACGTTGTTGTTGTTAAGTGCCATCGAGTCGTTGATGACTAAAAGCGACCCTATGAACAAAAGACCTGAACACTTGTATAACTTCAGTCATTTCTCCATGTTCACAGAGTTTCCAGAGGCAAGCCATTTTGGAAGTGGATGCCACTCCTGCTTCCAAGTCTGTTTTAATCAGGAAGCTCCACCAAACACTGTCCACTGTGGGTAACCATTATCACATTTGACACATCAGTGTCACAGTGTTTAGCACCACAGCAACCATGAGTTACCTATGTACAGCAAATGGACAGACTAGTGCTATACCACTTAGAAGAATGTTTGACAAAAAACAATTTAAATACTCTAAAAATTAATTATTTATACTCCAACTGAAGAAAATATGCTTGTTAGTTTCTTTATGTGCTGTTACTTAGAAACTATTAAAGTCCAAAGTGAAAGTTGAAAAAAACATCGGTCAAATTATATATTGGACACATTTTTGATTCTACAGTTCCAAGGAATTCTCGTATCCTAGTGGTAAGGAGTTGAGCTGCCAACTCAAAGGCAAAGAGTTCAAATCCACCATGAAATTTGAAGCCTCTGAAAATCCATGACAGGATCAGCTATAAATAGACTCTGACTCAACGGCACATAACAACAACACAGCTCACTTACTGTCATAGAGTCAGACTAACTCATAGCTGACCTTCCAGGAGGTTTTCAGAGGCAGTTAGTTGCACAGGAGGAGACTGCTCATCGTTCTTTCTGTATATGAGCCACTAGAAAGGCTCTATCTTTGGGTTAGCAGTACCCTAAGCAATATAAGCCACCAAGAGCTCCCTATATAATAAAGAAGGAGATCCAAAAGATGTCAACTTCAAACATCTTCACCAAAACACCAAAGTCGCCCAGTTTACAAAGTCCAAGAGCATCATTTTAAATTGAACAAATAGCTTCAATTGATCTGCTTCTGGAGGATGTTGCTGTTACGTCCTATTGAGCTAGACCGACACATAGCTGTCGCTCCAGTGTTTTCAGAAGCAGTAAACTGCATGGGAAGATGGCTAACCTTTCTCCCTCAGAGCAGCCAGTGGATTCACACCATGTGCCTATGGGTTGGCTGAGCAGCCGTTTTCACTAGGCCACCAGGGCTCCCTATGTCTCTGGAGACTATATTTTAAAAAATACGTACTATTTAAAAATATTTAAAAAACATTTAAGGGACAAACATTAAATATAGAGTCTAATTCAACAGGCTTTGGCTTTGAGGCTAACCTTTTAGAATTGCCTACAAATATGCTTTCCTGGGTCAGCTTTTGACGTAATCTTTATTGCCTGTATTGTCTGGGAATTATTTCACCTCAACTAGACCTCACATTCATCCATGCTAAGGCTTTATCTCTTATTACTTCATCTCCCCCTCAGTCAATGACACATATTTTTTTTAGTATCTTTTATTATTGTTATTTGAATAACATAAATAAACCCACTTCTGTCAAGTCAGTTTCAACTCATTCAAGTTTAAAAGGGGGTGGTTGTTGCTGATTGCCTTTGAGTCGAGCACGACTCATACCGACCCTATGAACAAAAGGCTTGAGAAGCTCGTCTATAACTATCGACATTTATCAAAGTTCTTAGAGTTTACAGAGGCAAGTTGTTTAGGAAGTGGATGCTAAGGGGGTAAGACTGGAAATTCTCTTGGCATTTTAATGGCACTTGTAAAACTCACTGCATTATCTTGTTGAGGGCTGAATTAATACAAATAATGTGTGTATAAACAACTTCAGGAGGTATATACAACACACTAGAGGTCCAAAACATACGTAGCTACTAAAAAGTCTCTTGGAAGGCTCCAAGTTAGGATAGAATTGTTAAAAAATTATTATGCCATATTGTGATGATGGTGTTATTGTTGTTGTATACCACCATGAAAGATTTTGATGAATACTATCGATTGACCAACTAAAACTACTCTGTAGGAAGAAACTATTTTTCCCTTATGACTGATCTCTCTCAATCATATCCCTCTACAACCCATTCCTCACTCAGCTCTAGAGAGGTCTGACAGGCACATAGGGGATCATGTCACTACCCGACCTGATGCCTCCCATGGCATTCCATCATTCCTATAATAAAATTCCAAACTGTCAATAAGATCCAGGTATTGACTGGATTTACGGCCTGACTTCTTTGACCTTTCTTTCTCTCTCATGCTCCTCTTTGTTCATTAAGCCATGATCACAAGACCTTTTAGTTCCTCACACCAGATCCTGCAACTGGGCTGTTGCATTTGTTACTCTTCAGTATGCAAAACTCTGTGGTTTACTTCCACATTCCCTATTGGCTGACTTTTACAATCAGTAAGGTCTTAACTCAAATGGCCTCTCCTCAAGGACGCTTATCTGAGTGTAGCAAAAAAGTAGCCTTCTCAATCACCTTCACACAGAGCATACTATTTCATCTATTTTCTTAATACTTCATTCATAGTACCCCAAAATCTAATCATTAATTTACCGATTGGCTATCTCCTGCACTAGACTCTAAACTCTTTCATGACAGTCAAGAGTAGGGTGATCAGCTGGGCTAAACAAAACCAGTAGTGAAAAATAAGAGTAATGTGAAAGTAGTTGTATTACAGATCTATGAATTTTAGAGCAAAGAACCTTTTAAAAAAAAAGATAATTTCTCAACTAATGAGCTCATATTTCTATGCATGGGACCCTGGCTGTTTAAATAGGCCAGAAAAGAAAAGAAATATCTTATTATTGTGAACAAAAAGAAGAGAAAAGGGGAAAAAGCAAGAGGAGATGCAAGGGTGCAAGGTGAACACCTTGTCCGCTTCCTGAGTATGTTCTTCAATTGTCCGTGGTGTCACCATCTGGAACTTCTCCTTCATGGATAAAATATCCTTGAAAAGATGGTCTCCTTTTCTCTATTGTTTTAAACAATAGACATAACAACAATAAGACAAACACAGTCCATCTATAAAAGCACAAACATAAAACAACTGTAACTGTGTGCATCAGGGAATAAAGACCACGAAGCGGTATATAAAGGGAGGCCACCACCTCAGCATGTCATCATGCCAAGACAAGACACACTTTCTCGAGAAACCACAACACTCTAGAGTACATTCCTCAAATATCGACATTAATATGTTTACAAGTTCTAAAAAGAAGATATTCATTTGTATTCAATGTCGTAAGACCCTACTATGATGCTTCAAAATTTTAGTCTTGTCAAAAATGTCTTTCCAGTTCAGCAATTACTTCTGCTTGAAATGCTGTTCAGGAGCTATTTTGTTTTCAGTTACAAATTTAAGAAATTAAAAACAAATATAGCTTTGTTAAGAAAAGAGTAAAAACCATATGACTAGAATTTGTTGACATTCTGACACTCTAGCTAGACTATATGCTAAACTTAAGGAGAAAGTGAAGGAGGAGGAAAGATGAAATTACAGGAGAACAACTTCATACACTTAGAAAATGCTCTATTTAGTATAGTGTAAGAAAAGAGCTCACAGAAATTGTGGGTCAATAATTGTCAGGGCTTTTCAAAACATCAGGAAGAATAGATCTAAGTGGAGATCAAAGAAGAAATGTTTGGAGAATATATATATATTTTTTAAAGAGTACTTATTTTGGTAGTAGGAAGAAAAAAAACACAGAAAGGAAATTGACAATTTGGACAGATATGGTTGAATATCTTTCTTAAAAAAAACTGGTCAACATTTCATTATATTGTCTTTTCTGTACTGAATTACATGATAAATGTATTATGCAGGTTTTTACCAAGTTTCATCAGCGTGTTTAAAGATTAATTCATTGTCCTTACACTAATTACTTTCAACCACAATAAATACGGTCTATATTTCCAGAAGCCTTTAGCTATTTCATTATTAACCAAATGCATTCATTTTAGAAGTCAATAATGGGAAAATTTATTAAAACATAAATTAATGTCAGTTTCTAGGTTTTCCAATATAACAATCCACTACCATTAATTTACCTGAGTAAAGAAGTGAATTTACTTTGAAATTATATCAAAAGCATTACACAATTTGCCTAAGAACAAGTCCAGTAAGTATTACCTTGTTAATGCACATTTAGTATTTGAAGTATTGTTAGCAACTACATAAAAAATTAGATGAGAATACTTTCTAGACTCCCAACAATCTATAATTAATTAGTAACCTCATTTTCACTAAGCAGTCAGAGCAAGACATATTGCCAACAAATATCTAGCGACATACCCCTTGTGTCTGTAGGGACAGAGGTGTGATACGTCGTTTTTCCCATTCATTGGGGCGTGGTTCAGGTGTGGATTCCATAAAATTGCGCTTGAGTTCACTAATGCTAGCCTGATGTTTCAGAATGTCCTCCTGGGCCTTATCCAGGTCCTAGCAATGTATGAGGTGACAGAGGGGAACAATCCAAAAGGGGGAGGGAGGGAACCCAGTAGGACAAAAAAAAAAAAAATAAAATAAAAACAAACCAAAAAATAAGACAAAACAAACTTACAATTAAAAAAATACTAAAAGCAAGAAAAATGCCAAGTCTCAAAAGCCATATTATAATCTATGAATAAGTTAATGCATTATTAAAATTTGAAAAATGAGGCCAATATGTAATTTTTACTCATTTTTTTTAAAGTTCCAATTTCTTCCCTATTTAGCATTTTCAGTGAAATCGTTACATTATTAGAAATTAGCCAATGAAACCGATAATCAAAAGGCGGCCAACAACCCTTCATCTTGGACTTGGATTTGAAGTATAATTTATGACTTCGTTCCAGAAAATTTACCTTTCTGATTACGTATACTGCTTAAATTATGTCAGTACACAAAATAAACCAGCTGTAAAACAGTTGCAGATTTGATCAGAGGAGGAAGTCAGTCCAATATTATCCCAAAATAGAAAACTAAGGGTTGACTTTGTTTCAGGAAATTCTAGTGGTAGCTTTTGATCCTTATGGTGCAAAATAACTGCTTCTAGAAAAGGCATCTGTTCAGTCTGTCTATAAAATAGGAGACCACATACTGGTCAGAGGAACTTGCCAAATAGGGGCAGCCCAGCCACTCAACATACAAAATGGTGCTTATACAGAAAATGATGCAACTACTGGGTTGGTTTTCACTGGGGATTCTTAGACCGACCCTGATAAGTGGTTTTTGTGGAAATGAAAGATAATAAAAGCTCTGGAAATTTTTAAAATGGAATCTTAGAAGATTTCTTAATTTAAAAAAAATCTCAGGAGCCACCTATGGATTTTCTCTTTGATCCCACTTCTAGCGGAACATTCATGCATCTAATAAAATCAGGTACTTGGTATTCATGCACAAGCACAGTAGCTCACTACGAGCTTCGACTGCCATCAGCAAAAATTCAGGGAAATACAAAAATCTTTGCATGGCATGGAAAAATTACGGAAGGCTTGAGATCAGGCACATTTCTTGGATTTGTTCAAAGCAATGTTATGTATTACACTTTACAGCATTTTAGTAAGTTATGTAAAAATACATTTCTAACAGTTATCAAAGCTGCCAAAAGCAACCAAACCAAATTAGTCAGATTACTGAGAGTTGCAGTTGTCGTTGCCACATACTATCTTAAAGGGAAAAAAGTTCTTGCGTGACACAGGGAACATATTCCACATCTAGTTAGGTAGCTGTAGCTGGTAGAATTTTCTTTTATTTTTTTCTTCTTAATAACAACAATTCCATCAATTAACATACACTGAAACAGAATACTTTTAAATGGCCCACAGTCTTAATTCTAAATAAAGAATGTGGACATAACGCAAAAGGCAAGTGATTTAATGCCAAATAAATATTTTTTTTTCCTGTTTAATGTATATTAAAAATGGGATCGTGTTGCTTCAGGTTCTATTCTCTAAAGATAACCTATTAGGAGAGAATAGGTTTATCTATATGCCAACTTTCAGATTGAGGGATAGAAAGTATAATCATTTGGTTAAACAGAATGCTTTTTCCCAGTTGTCACTCTGAGAACTTCCAGTGCTTATGTTCCTCCCTAAGCCACTTTGAAAAACAAAGCCAAACTGCTAACATGCACACCCGGACGGAATTGCCCCCCATGCAGTTCATGCAGTGTGCCTGAAGGAAATCACCAGCCAGCCTGTGCGTGACCTCCCGTCCACTGCAGCCTGGCAGCCATGAGGACAGAAGTGTTTTCTTAGATTATACAAACCTCCAACATTAAATTGCTATGTCTGACATAAATATTATCCCCTTCTACTCTCAAGGAATTCTTCTGTGAAATTAAATCACACACAGGGGGGGAAAAAGGCAAATGAATGTATGAATCAGCAGGCACCAGAAATGACCCAGAATTTGATCATCTAAAGACATTAATAAGGGAATTGTACTCTTAAGAACTTAAAGCCCCAACTCAAGCAAAACTCGCAAATAAACCCTGAAAAGCACACACTCCACACTTAATGATAATAATGGCAGGCAGCAGCCACCAGGTATTTAAGAGGGGAAAACAACCACCTCCTCCAGCTGTGTTTCTTCTTCTTCCATCTTCACCTGAAAGTCACACAGCAAATGGCCAGAAAGAAGTGGATTGTTAGTGGGAACACAACTATCAATGACAAGCAGTTGTACTTGAATTTAAATGGTGAACCAGCATTACCAACCTTTATTGTGTGGGCCTCAGAAGATGCAGGATATTAAGCCACTTTGGTCTTCCTTCACCTAATGTATTGTACAAATAATGGAAGTGATCCTTTGCAAACATGAAATGGAGAATGGAAGCTTCATTCTCTCTCAATCCCTAAATTATGCTCTGCATTTGAGTATTTTTACTCATGAATAAAAATGTAAGAAATGACATAATTCAATCTGTTCTGGAAATACCTAAAGTCAGTTAGTGTAGGGTAAAATATAATGGTGCAAAAGGAGGCTCTAGCTTTTTTTGGGGGGAATGTTCATCCTACTACTCAGTTTTTCAGTGTGAATATATGTTTTTGTTGGCAGAAGAGAACTAGTTTGTTTTGTTACTTTCAATTTAAAATGGCATGTGTTTAAAAATAATCTGTGAAATATACCTACTTCTCCATAAAACTTTTTCAATAATAGGTTTTCATATTTGTCAATAACTAATGATTGAGAAGAATGAATCTGGTCACTTAAGAGTAACAAATATTAAATACATATTAACTCACAGAAATGAATGGAAGAAAAATACATTGGTTCTAATATCAAAGAGAAATTGTTTAGCCTTTGCATGTCCAATCATAGCAGGGTTAATAGAACATAAATCCCTACTCTTAACTGAAATGATAGTGTGAAGTCTCAAAACACTTTCATTTTTTAAATCATTTGGAACGTTTTTAAAGGTTAGCAGGGAGTTCAGTGTCCTTTGCTCAGATGTGAAAAATGATGGACAGGCATCCAGTTTATCTGTTAATAATCATCTTCCAATTCCTTAGTCAACACCTAAATTACCTAAAACATTTGATTTCTCAGGTAAAGATTTAAGAATCAATTTTCTTTATGGTACACAATCGCAGTATTGTTTTCACAGCTTTGTTTATGTTTGCTCTAAATTTTGTGGCTTATTCTAGTGAGAGTACTCACAGTATATGAGCCATCATACCACAAGATAGCATTTAGTAAACCAGTCAGAAACATACTGCACATGTTAAAACTGACTTGTGCAGAAGTATTATCTTGGAGAGAAAAAAAAACACCACAACCTGTTCTATATAAGGGTAAAACATCCTAATTTTAAATAAAAGAACACTAAGAGGCCCAGGTTTTGCCTTTATATTTGTTAAAACACACAGTACATTCCACACAAAATACCTGATACTGATTCTTACTTAATTGCATTACTTAGAATTTAAAAACAAAATAAACACACTAAAACTTATCTGCTCCCTAAATAGTTTACTAGGGAGACAGGAGTTTCTGAGATTAGATCTACAAATGTCAGTGGTAAAGATAACAAATGTACCCTCATGTTAGCTTTCTACCATGAGAAAGATTATGAAAGGGCACCTTGAATAGACAACATTTATAGTTATGTCCACTGTGTCCTAAGTTGGACATAAAAATGAAAATTTTTAATTGTAAAGGAGCAGCATTACTATTTGTCTACAAAATAGACCAATGAACTATAGACTTTGAAAGGCAGTAGTATTAAGTCTCTTTTCAAAAAAAAAAAGAAACAAAACAAAACAGCCAGCCAACCAACAAAACTAAAGTATAGTATGGTGGTGCAAACGGTTTAGCACGCAGCTGCTCCCAGAAAGAACGGTGGAACAAGCCCACCAGCAGCTCCACAAGAGAATGACTTGGTGATCTACTAGTGTCAACAGTACAACCTAGAAAACATATGGGCAGTAGTGTTTCGATTCACCATTCCTGGGTCAGAAGCAACACAATGCCATGGAATAACAACATGATCTAAATATTTATAAAATAACCTTATAAATTTGTTCTTAACTTAGAATGTGTACATGTCAATGGCTGTCAATGCAGGGAAGGCTTACACTTAATCCACATGCACTAAAATGTAGATTGTTTTAAAGTGTGCACATAATACTATCTTTAGGGTAATCAGTAGGAAATTTATACACGTTTACATTGGGAAAACTTTAAGATGAAAGTGTGGTTCTGGAGACCCCACAAACTGAAGCTTATATAGGAGTGCAAGCAACTGCTTCCTCTTCCTCTGTTTTGTCATTAGAGTCATAGTCACAAGAAACATTAAAGGACGTTGCTTTGGCTTCCAGATAGCAGAGGGACAGAGCCAGAGGAAGGGAGAAGGTGAGAGAAAAAGAAACTGATTGTGAGGCAGACAGAAGTAGCCCAAAGATGAGAACGAGGGAAGGAATGAATGAAGGGGAGGTGATAGGAATGTAGTGTTGGACATCAGGAGGAAGGAAAGAGACCCAGACCTTGGGGAGGCTGGGGAAAGCAAGATACCCATCTTCATCAAGAAGTGAGGGAAAGCACTTGCAGAAACTGAAGGGAAAATATCCAAACTCAGAATCTTTGTCATCACCCACTTTGAGAGGTTTCACAGGAATGGGAGAAGGACAGTCAGATTGAGGAGGGGCTACAACAGGATCCAAGACTGAAGCCAATGTGACAACTTCAGGGTCTCCCTGCTCTGAGATTTCACTTGTGGAACCGAGCTCTAAGCTGTCTAATGTGACCTGGTCTGCCTCCCCAAAGGGGTCTTCCTCTGAAATGTCAGACAGCAAGTCCATTTCAGGGACTGGCAACAGGTTTGAGGAACAAGATGAAGTACAGCAGATGAGTGGTGAAGGTGGGCACATGGAAATGGGCTACTCTCAAAAGCAAACCCATGAATGAACACGAAATTGCACAACAGATACATCATAGGGAAAAAGAAAACAAAACAACAACAAAAAAATATGTAAGACAGAAAGAGGAGAGAAGAAATCAGTAGTTAGTGAAAACTTTTACTCTGAAATTGGGATATATTAATACGCCATAATTAGAAAATTAATTCAATGATCCATTTTTAAAGAGGAAAACAGGGCTATTTCCACCACATAAAATGTATAGAGGTTATCAACTGAAACTTTTTTGAAACTAGTAGCAAATCATGTTAAACTCAAATAGCATAACAAACCGTTTAAACTGAACAGCAAGACCAGTAAACCTAGTAATTGAAGGAAACAAGATTTTCTTTAGACATAAAAGTTTTTGTTTCTCACTTCTAATAAACAGATACAAAATTAGGTACACAAAATGAGACTGAAACTTTCTGAAACACAAAGCGATTCAGATTGAAGTTCTGACTAAAAAACAGATGATTGTTCAGCAATAGAATACTTGTTGAAATAAATTACATAGATCCATAAGAAATTTTCAAACAAAAGTTTAAAGTATTATAAATTATTGAATAAAAGAATATTCGTGGTCTGCTATCACCTGCTTCTGAAGCACTTGTCTGAGGGCCTAAGACAGGGTCACATGGCCCTTGAGACCCCCGCATGCTGAGCACAAGTGGATCTCAGTACAGGAACTCTGGGGACATGTCAGCTACTCCACCTAGCAGGTCCTTTATAAATGCATGCTTTATGCAATATCAAAATTAAGAGAACATCATTCATTAACAGGATAATTCCATTTATCTTTTCTTCTGCTTATCTTCAGTGCTAAATAGGAAAAAAGTTGTCTTGTGGAAATACTGTATATAGACCTAAAGAACTTTAACCCTTATCACATCAACATCTTGTCCAAGATATCATGGTAATATAAGACAACAGCGACAAAACTGAGGACACATTACAGGTTATTGTATTAATGTGTATCTATAAAATAAGGTCACATATGCAAGGCATCATCATCTCACTCATTATTCACAAAATGCTTATCCTGTGCTCAGAAATTTCTCTTTCTTTACCATTTATGCTTTTTATAATGTCCACTTTGGTTCATTTCATGAAAATTCAAACTAATAAAATTAAAATAATAGAGACACAATGCTACACCTTGAAATTTTTCTTGTAACAAACCAAATATAAATTTTAACTCAACATAGGTTTTATAATTTGAGGGCATAATTAACTAGATAAATATAAAGATAGTATAAAAAGTTCATTATTGATTTGGATTAAATTTGGATTCATACTTTATGATTAAGTATTTTAATTTATCAATAATCAAAACAAAAAAGGTAGAGATCACAGTCTAAAGCAGTAAGATCCTATGTGTTTTTGAAAAACGGGGAATCGTCTCAAAGAGATCAAGGAATGACAAAGTGTAAATGGGTTGTATACATAATTGCATATAATATTTGAAGCGAGACGTTGAACTAGATAGGCTCCAGTCTAAGTAAAGGTTTAAAATGGCATACTGTATTCATTTACCATACCTTTCCTTCAATGAGCTGCAGATGCGGAGTTTTTGCCGGGCTTCTGACTTCCCTTCTGCCATCTCCATCTTGAATCCCAACAGGACTCACACCACCAGGACCATAAGCTGGAACCTCCCCCGCAGAGCCAGAAAAATCTTTCATCAGACTTTGGTCCACATCACCAACCAGAGCTAGTAACAAATGATAATGAGAAGTACTTTAGAATGTGTGAACGGTTTAACTTTCTAGAACTTTTCTTTTTATGGAGAAAAAGTCATAGCATATATACAATTAATAGGAAGAGGACCACCATTGGAGTTTCTGAAAATAACAGAAGATTTAAAAAAAAAAAAAAATAAAAACCAAAACACCAAACACACAAAAAACCGAACTCTCTTTTAAACTGTTATAAAATTCTTGACATTAGTCTGAATTTTCCATTACACTGTACTCAGGTTCCTGAGTGGCATAATAGGAGTTCTGGTGGCTTAATGATAAGGAGTGGGACTACCACCCCAAAGGAACAAGGTTCAAATTCACCAACTACTCTGTGGGTGATAGACAGGCAATCTCCTCTCATTCAATGTATAGCCTCTGAAAGCCCTTCAAGGGTCAGCTACAGGTTGAATTTGACTCAGAGATCCATAGCAACAACATTAAGCTAAACACTGGTATTTCAAACATATCAAGAGGCATCACAGAAAAAGGCATAGGGCTGTAAAGATCACAGCAAAAAAAAAAAAATCTATAAAGCAGCTCTACTCTGTTACACATGAGTTGTCATGAGGTTCATTAACTTGACCACAAAAAAAAATAAGTTTCTTTTTAAAAAAAATGTAAACGACTTAAGTATCAAATCTAACTTTTGAAGAGTATATTCTAATCATGGACTGTAGGAGGAGCTCTAAGATCAGCTGAAACATCAGAATCGGGTCAAGCTGTTGAAATCACCATTTCTGAACACAATTTTAAATCTCAATATTCTCAAGCTCTGGAACCATTCGTGAACTAACTTCTAAATACATTTATTGCAGAAAGCACTTATATAATTATAAAACTAACTTGCTTCAGTAAGTTTTAAGCATTAGAATTCCCCCTATGGAAAACCTTTTCAATTTAATCATCAGTCAAAACTGTAACAAGACAACAAAGTTAGATTTAGGGAACACGCTTATATACTTATATCCTGCATCCTTCATCTTGAACTACAGTAAATCAATGCACACTCCTTTAGCAAACTAGGCTGTTGTATGATTCCTTAAATGCCCACATTCTCTAACAAGTAGGCAAATGCCTATAATACGGAGCAAAACACGGCTTCAGAGATCAGTAAGCTAAAATAGGTAGCAGATGAAACAGCCTCTATCTCGCTGTGGCTCCTGACTGAACCACTGAGGTTATTTAAAGAGCAGTTTACTACGTCGTTTGCTCAGGTTCCATGACACAGAGGTCTTTAGGCCTCAAGATCCAGAGCACTAGGACTATGTATATAGCTTAACACATCAAACTTGGGAGTCACCGAGTCCCATGGATCAAATGGTACCTCTTTTTTTTAGTCTTTAATAATTTAATATTTCCCCGCTGTTGTACATTTTCTTATTCCCCCTTCCCTTCCCCCTCCTCCGGCCCTCCCCTCAATGAACCCCTTATTCCAGATCGTTGTCATACATGTAATGCCTAATCATATATTCCTTCTGGACAGTTCTTCCCCTCATCTGATCTAATGCAGTGCTTATTATGTATCCACTCTTTTTCCAGTCTCTCCTCAACACCCCCATGTCTGTCCTACTTTATAACAGTGTTGTTATGTAATATTTGTCCTTTAGTGACTGAGATATTTCACTCAGACTAGTGTCCTCCAGGCTCCACCATGTTGTGTAGTGTTTTACAAGTTCACTGTTTTTCAATGCTGTTTAATATTCTATTCTGTGGATGCACTATAGTTTTTCTATCCATTCATTTGTTGATGGGCACTTGGGTTGCTTCCACCTCTTTGCTAATGTGAAGAATGCAGCACTAAATATGCTTGATTCACACTTCTCTATCAGCTCTACCCAGATCTTTTTCTTTCCTAGTCTTGGCCTTTTTCAAAATGCTGTTCACATACTTATACAACTTAGACTCAGCTATTTATACCAGGAACCTAGACTTTTTCTTGGACTCTGCTTCCATGCCTTGTATTGCCAATAAGCCCAGTAGGGTCTTTCTTCATATTTCTAAATGTGCCCAGGTATTTTTATCATTATTTCCAAAGCACCAAAAACACTTTTAAAGATTTTAACAGGCCTCAAAAACTTATCCTTTTGAAAGTCCACATCACAGCACATTACTAACTAAAATACACAAGTGATTTATACTATTACACTTACTTTCTTTGTTTTCTGTTCTTACCAAGATTTCATTATGTTTGCTTTGAAAAGTAAATTGCTATGAATATATCTCTCTAACTGGTAAGTGAATATTATTTCAAAGCACACAATACAAATATTACATACAAGAATTATTGCAAACTGAGAAAGGCTAACCTAGGAATGTTTTCAAATGTATTAGTATTGAAATTTTAATATAAAATTAAAGATTACTAATGTAGTTGGAAGCAGGAGTGGCATCTATTTCCTGAACAACATGTCTCTGGAAACTCTATGAACTTTGATAAATGTTGATAGTTATAGAAAGGCTTCAGGCCTTTCGTTCTTAGGGCTGCTATAAGTCATGCTCAACTCGATGGCAATCAACAACAACAATAATGTAGCCGACAGTAACTTGGGTGGCCTAACGGCAAGAAGCTGTGCTGTAATCCCTAAGATAAACGGTTCGAGTCCACCAGCTGCTCCACAGGAGATGATGGGTAATCTCCTCCGGTGTTTTTAACTGTCTCTGAAAACCCACCAGAGGGTCAGCTATAAGTTGGTTCCAACTCTATGGTACAACACCATCACAACAACAATGTAGTTGACAAAATGTTGACTTTCTAGACTTTTCAATATACTCATTTTACTTTGTAGTTTTATTTTTGCACTTAATGAGTCAATTTTTTTTCAGCCGATAGGTCTCAAATACTTTTAAGCATCCATGATAAGTTTTTATGTCCTATGTACTGTGTCTATGGTGCCAAGTGGTTAATTGGTCCTCTCCTACCCAAGGCCAGAACACCATCATTCTCACCTATAATACTTCTAATCAGCCTTCCTGTCTCCTCTCCTAACCTATTCAAATCATTCTCTATATCACACCAAGCGACATTTTCAAAAAATGCTGAAAATGCTTTTAAGTGTATGTATGCATGCATACACAAATGTATAGAAACATATATACTTTCTCTCATCTTTCAAACGTTTCCTAAAGCATTTAGAATAGAATCCACATTCTTTACCAAGCAAGGTTCTGCACTCTCAGGTCCTAGCCCATTTGTTTCTATCACTCTCTAGACACACATCTAATCCTAGACCTTAAGAAGGTTTCTTCCTCTCAGAAACTTTAGATGTGCTGCTCCTATCACCTAGAATGCCCTACTTTCTGTTCTGCTTATGCTTGCTACCTCAATTTTAATGCAAACTGTTTTTCAGACCATCTTTCCTGATAACTAACTGTGCCCACTTACTATTTACTCAGTAATCATCTGTCTCCTTTACTACCGTATTTATTCTGGTTGTTGCTTGGTCAAGTCAGTACTGTCCCATAATGGCCCAATGTAAAACAGAACAAAACACTATCTGCTGTGCCAATCCTCGCAATCTCTCCTGTACCCAAGCCTACTGATGCAGCCATAGTGTCAATCCAGCTCCCTAAAGATCTTCATCTTCTTCACTGATCCCTACTAAACCTGGCATCTTTTTCCATACAATGTTCCCATTTGATAACGTGCCCAAGGAATGTGAGACGATGTGGCCCTGTCCTTGCCTCCAAGGAGCATTCGGCTGCCCTTCCTCCAAGACACCTTGTCTGCTCTTCTGACGCTCTATGCCTATTCTGTATTTCTGGTCAACTTCACAATTCAAAGGCATCAATTTAGTCTTCCTTATTCACTGTTCACCTTCCACACACACATAAGGCAACTGGAACATCATTGCTGGGGTCCTCTTAAATGAGTGATTTGCCTCCTCTTCTGGTTTGATTTTTCAATTTTACCATTCCAGCTGGCTTTTACTAAGATACTTGATGTTTAGATATTAGATAACAGATTTTTACTTTCTATGTAATTAAAGTTTTGTTTTAATTTGCCAAATTTAAAGTGAGAAATAGTAATACATCTGTTTCTCTTTATGTAAAAGTAAGCGGAAAAAGAAATAAATGCCAACTCAAGCAAAAGGTCCACCATATATTAGAGAGTCCGGGGGAAAGGGCAGCTCAGTATCAGATCACAGGCTAGCTTTGCTCTGGAAAGATGACAGTCAGCCTGAACCAAAGCACTTGCTGGCTGTCTAGGCATGAAAAGCCTCCTATTTTCCACAATAGCACAATAATCCTTTTGAGGACTTGCTCATCTGATAGATTACAGTGTCCAAAACTCAGAGGAGAAAAAGAATGGTTTACTGTGCCATGTTTGTTGCTTTTTCTTGTGGAAATTATTGTTTTCAGATTCAGACCCTCTGTTCTAACTGCCTATTCAAGACGGTAGATTTCCTTGACTATAGTTCGTATATCACAAAGAAAATGTACAACTTTACTGTGATTTTTAGATGCTAAAACATGCAATATAGGAAATATAGAGCCTTATCATTTAAAATGAAGTGGAGAACAGTGTTCACGAAGAGCAAAACTTTCTTTCAGGGCATTATACAAAAGTGACTGTCGTTAGTCAGCACTCCATATAAATTCTGTGTCAAGGGGCAAAACTTAAACTGACTCTATGGCAGCAGACTCAGCTGGTTGGTTTTGATAGAGACAGTGTTTTAAAGAGCCCGTAAGTGGTGTAGTTAATACACCCGGCAACTAGTGGACAGGCTGGACATTTAGAAGGCTGGATCTGAATCCACCTGGAAGTGGCTCAGAGACAAGTTCGGTAACCTCCTTCCAAAACATCAGCCACAGAAAATTCTTTGGAGAACAGGCCTCGTCTGACAGACGTGGGTTCACCATCATCTGGAAACAATTAATCGACAAATGCTTGTTTTTTATGTACGCTAACAATTTACTAAATTTAAATCACTGCACTTCGGAATGTATGTATTTGAATAAAAATTTATGACTTTTTTAACTACTTTGGGGTGAGTTCTTCAAGTTATTTGGAAGATTCGTCAGGATCAAGAGTCAGTAACTACACAACAAAACGTCAAATCCAGGGAAACATCTGTGTCTGACTAGATCTCTTACCTATGTTTACTCTAAAGGTGATCTAGGAAAACCAGATCAAGGCCAATGAAAACTATTTTAACTGTTAAATTATCTGATTTTTTTCATCTACTTATTAAAATTATTCCAGCTTATATTTTAAAACATTAAACTAGTAGCAATCAAGAAGAAAGCACCTTTGGCTGGTAAAAAAACAACAGTAAAACAGGTAATTTCAAAAATTATTATATTAAAAACTTGAGCACCACAACAAGATAAAGGTAAATAATCCAATAGAAAAATGGGCACAGGATATGAACAGGCACTTCACCGAAGACGACATTCAGATGGCTAACAAACACATGAAGAAATGCTCAAAATCCCTAGCCCTAAGAGAGATGCAAATTAAAACAACTATGAGATATCATTTCACCCCAGTCAAAATAGCAAAATTTAACAGAACAGCAAGCAACAAATGCTGGCGAGGTTGTGGAGAAACTGGAACCCTGATTCACTGTTGGTGGGAGTGTAAAATGGTGCAACCCCTGTGGAAAGCAGTATGGCGCTTTCTCAAAAAGTTGCAAATAGAGATACCATTTGACCCAGCAATTCCACTACTGGGAATATACCCTGAAGAGACCATAGCTGACATCCAAGCAGATATATGCACACCCATGTTCATTGCAGCTTTGTTCACAATAGCAAGGAGTTGGAAACAACCTAAGTGCCCATCAACAAACGAATGGCTAGAGAAGCTGTGGTATATTCGCACAATGGAATACTATGCTGCATTAAAAAACAAGGAACTCATGCAATATTATTCAAAATGGTTGACTCTGGAGAACATTATGCTGAGTGAAATATCCCAGTCACAAAAGGACAAATATTACATGATGCCACTGTTGTAGAATGGGACTATCCTTGGGGTTAGGGAGACACTGAGTAAGATGGGTTCAATAACGTATACTGCACTGAAGCAGAGGAGGGAGAGAACCGTCTAAAAGAGAGATGTAACTGGGTATTTCTGTCATCACAGGAGACTAGAGCGAGGGCTACATGGTGGAGGGGACCTGGGGGAGGGTTTGTAAAACAATGAAAGAATCTTTTCTTTTATTTTTCCATAATTTTTGGACTCATGTACTTATAACTTGTTAGTCAAATTTGTGTCTTCTAGGTTGCAACACCCCCATGATACATCTTGAAGGATATGTACATGTACAGCCAAGCACAATCAATAAGAGTGCATCTGAATTCCAAAATCAATCTCCATAATAGTCTATGTGTTTCCTACTGCCAAAGGGGCCCTTTAGAGTAGTGAGAGAAGATCTTCACCCTGAAACCCACAGCGTCCCTTTTCAGCAGGAAGTAGCTAAGAGAATACGCCGTCCCCTTTTCCTTATGACTCAGGGTGAAGTCTCTCTCAGGGAGGAGTGATAGGGAATGGCAAAGGATACACTGACAAAGAAGATTAATCAGAACTGGCTTTGACAAGCACTGTGGCATTTGGACAAGAACAAACTGGGAGGAGGGTAGAGAGAATAGTGCAACAATGAATGAGTGGAAGCCCAAAATCTCTGTAAATGTTTATGAAAATTAATAAAATATAATTATAGAAAAAAAAACTTATTTGGAGAGTAATCAACCAATAACTATTCCTTATGGTAAAAACTCAGTTAATCCAATAACATTTTGCTGGGAAGAAAAAGTCTTCACTAAAAGCATTCTAATGTGAAATCATTATTAGCGCTTTTATAAAAATCTGCTGTTAACCCAAATTTGGACAGCATAATGAGTTACATATTAAGAAAAATAACATCAATTTCCCTGTGTTAATTACAAAACCTCAAAGATGAAGTTCAGTTCTAACAGTTGAAATGTATGTTACTTCTCTTTGTTGTTGTTCTGTGCCATCCCTATGTTTAACAGCTCTGCTCCCCGCACTCCACCCTGAGCCAGTCTCACTGTCCATCAAACTGGCTCCAATTCATAGCAACCCTATGTACAACTGAAGGAAACTCTGCCAAGTCCTTCAAGCTCCAGCCACTGTGTCAGTGCATCTCGGTGAGGGGCTTCCTATCTTTTGCTGACCCTCTACCATTCCAAGAATGACATCCTTCTCCACTGACTGGCTCCTCCTCTTAGCATGCAGTGTATTTCTCAGCAGCCAGTATCACGCTGGGGTAGCCGCGTGCTGCTATAGAAGCAAAGCTACTAGACTTTCAAATACCAGCAGGTGGTAGACTGGTTTCAGTGGAGCTTCCAGACTGAGACAGCCTAGGAAGCAGGATTGCCCATGCACTTCTGAATTGCAGTGTCTATGAAAAATCTTTAAGAAATACATATGTTATTTCTTAGAGCATAATCTTTGATGTTGTGAATAGTTTTTAATCTACTAGAAAGTTTGAGAAGCTTTATAACCCATAAAAGATACTGTCTGTAGAATGCAGAATCATTATAAAGGTATTTACTTCCATCTAGACTCCTGGAGGCCCGTTTACTAGAGGTGCGCTCAAAATGTGGTGCTGGTCTATCAATGAGGATGCTTGCTTGTCGGGTCTGGGCTTGGGTGCGCCCACTGTAGCGGAATTTGGATCCCAACGTCAAGAACTTGGCCTTTGGTGGCTGCTCTGGAGACACAAGTCTATAAAAGAAAAGCAAAAAATGGAGTAAAACTAGATTTAAACACACAAACACACATACACACAGAGAGAGGGAGAGAGAGAGAACAAATCCAAAACCAACTACATAAAGATTTTAATATCTCATCTTGTTACATGTTGTTGTTGTTATGCGCCATCGAGTCATTTGCGACTCATAGCGACCCTATGCACAACAGCCCTAAACCCTGCTCTATCCTGTGCCAATCACACTGCCTCCAACACACCCATCCCGATTACCCCAGTCACCAAATCAATCCATCTCATAGAGGGTCTTCCCCTCTTGTGCCGTCCCTCCACCCTCCCAAGCATGATGTCTCTCTCCAAGAACCCGTCCCTCCTTGCAACATGCCCAAAGTATGTCAGACGAAGCCTCAGTATCCTTGCCTCCAAGGAGTTGCTCAGTTTAATCCTCTCCAGGATGAATCTGTTTGTTTTCTTGGCAGTCCATGGTACATACTAATTAAATTTTCTAATAAAGGTCATTTATAAGCTCTCAGTTATGAAATGAATTAACTAAAGAAGAAAAAAACCCCAAACCCTCATTGCAGTCAAGTGGGAACCAACTTACAGCTGACTCTCTATAGGGTTTCTAAGACTGTAAATTCTATAGCAGGAGACTGCTCTTCTTTCTACCTTGGGGCTGTTTTTTGTACCTTGGGGCTGTTTGTTGTTCTATGCCTTTGAGTCCCAACTGACAGTTGACACGCCACTTAGTTTTCAGGGGCTGTAAATCCTAAAGGAGGAAACTGCCCAACTTTTTCTAGCAGAGCAGCTGGTGGATTCGAACTGCTTGTCACTAGGACAGCAGCACAAATCCTTACCATTAATTCACCAGTTAGTGGATTCAAACTGCCAGGAAGGCATGGCCTTTGGGCTAACAGTACAACTCTCCATGCAGTAAGCATGTTCCCTTCCCACCTGCAGCCCCCCAAAACAGACAGCCTCACTTTTCAAAAGCTCATTTTATACCACTTCATTTTACAAAGGCCTTAGTACAGTACCACTTGTTGATAACAGAAAGTTTTCTAAAAAACAGGAAAAGTGAAACTAACATTCAACAATTAGCTTTGCAGCTATTAAAGTGGGGACATGCATCCCAAGCAGTAAAGGGGCACTGGCAAGCTGCTTTCCAGAGAACTACCCTGAGCTGTCATAGCTTTGAAGCTTTGATCTCTGTCTGTGAACACTATATGTTAGTGTAATTTTTGGTTTGTTATGTGGTATGACTTGGAAAGTTGGTGTTTTAAACCTGAGACGCACAAAACCTTTTCCCATGTACGTTACGAGTAATTGCTTCTCCTCTTTACGCCATTTGGTTTACGGAAACTTCACAGGATCATTCTACTCTTGGCCTGGGGAAGGCCAGTGAAGCAACTACTGCTGTCCAGTGACTCAACTCACATTTCATCTTCCTCCCTCTTGGCAGCTTGCGGATTCAAATCAGTGACCTTCCTATTAATTGTTGTTTACTGTTGAATTGGAACTGATTCAAACTGACCCATGAGTGGGTTTTCAGCGGCAATAAACTGCACAGGAGGCTGCCCATCTTCACTCCACAGAGCAGCTGGTGAATCTGAACAGTGTGCTTTGCGCTGGACAGCAAAACTCTTTACCACTGAGCCACCAGAAGTACCTATTTATTTATCAATTAGTGAATTTTTATAACCAGCCCAACACATAACGTACTATACTACCAGGTTATACATCCAACTTTAGTGTGTAATGTGTCGGGCTGCTAACCGAAAGGTCAGCTATTTGAATCTAAGAAAGAAAGATGGACGGTCTTTTCCCTTAAAGACAAACAGCCTCAGAAACGAAACGTAGGGTAGTTATGGGTCTGAATGTGGTAGGATGTCTGTGGTTTTAATACCACTAGGAATGGGTTGGTTACCTTCATTATATAAAGGAAACAGGATTGTTGTAGGGTATATTTTGAGTTAATCTCTTTAGAGATGTAAAAGAGAGAAAAACCAGGCTGTCTAGGGAGAGGGAAGCTGGCAGAGCAGAGAGATGAGAGACATTAATCAGCACAAAGATCACCCAAAAGGAAGAGAAGCCTCCAGGACCAAGGGAGAGACAAGATTTTCCCCTCACCTGGCACCCTGAAGTTACACATCTAGTCCCCTAAATGACAAGAAAATCTCTGCTGAAACCATCATTTTATGGCATTTCTATGATGGTAGCACTAGATAATTAAAACATCCTCCTACAGAAAAGAGCTTCAGGATGGAGTTAAGATGAATAAATTTACATTTATATAGTCATAAGTAATATGTTTTTTCTCAACCTGAGCAAAAGAGCAGCTGTTTTCAATGTGTCCCAAAGGTTATTTATTTGTATTAGTTTAAGTCATTGATATAAACACATATGTCTAAATTCTGTTCCTAGCTTTAAGTGCCAAGTAGCAATCCATTGCCATTAGTAATTCTTAATATTTATGTCTATTTCTCTAGGGAAAGGAACATCTAACTCTGGAATCTGTTCCATCAAGTGAGTCCTTCTCATTAACAACACAACACACAGTGGATCTTTAGAGATGACTAAATAGCTTTTCTTGCCAGTATAGTTATACTGCTTAAGTCAAGGGTTCATAATAAAGAAGTCAACTTTTCTTGATGTCAAATAGTTCCAGACTGATGCAAAAGCTTGTTTTCAGTAAATGAGCCAATGCTGTCTGGAATTCAACTCAAATTGTCTGCTTTCATTGTCTGATCAAGTTGGCAAAAGTGTCTTAAAAAATTATTCGCAGGACTGTTCCAGAATATATTAAAAAGGAAAACTTCAGTCCCGACTCCTAGAGTACAGAGGGCTCTTTCAAAACTTGCTTCGGTATTTCTCCAGAAGAGTGGTTTCCTAGAGTTTTTGACCATTTCAAGTATTTCTAGAAATTCCGTACAATTTTAACAACTCTCCTGCTTTTGGTAAGCACTGAAAATCAAGTCAAGTCAAAGTTTAGCTGTGGTTAGTACATAAAAGATGTGGCCCTACATCAACTCAGGATTCTCAATAAAATGGAAGTCTGAAAATATTTATCCAGATATATAGCATGTAAGAATTAGAAAGAAGAATAATTATACTCTGGTTTTCTTGATCAATTCACCTAGAGTAGTCTAAGTGTTTCTCAGTAACTTGTCCACTTTCTTCCAATAGTCTTTGCAAGGAGACATAGATGATGTTGCTGAAATATTAAAATGTAATTAATGGCTAGTGCCTCTAATTGTACTATGGGAAGAAGAGTAAAAACCTAAAGTAGAAAAGAATCCTTAGCCATATTCTGGACTATCCTCTTTTCTTTAACAGCTAAGAAAACAGAAAACAAACAAAAAAGGCTAACTACACCTCCATACACTAATCACGAATAACTGAAGCAAGATAAGACTCGTTTGTCATGTTGTCATCTACGATATGCTGGCCCTTTCAGACTGAATATGGCCGTATTTCGCTATTTAGCAATCCAATCACTTCTGATCTAAAAATGCTATAAAAGAGAATAATGCTCTAGTGTATAATACTAGAATATTACTCAGGCAGGAAAAAAATTAAGTCTTAATTTAAGCTACAGATGATACAGAATCTGAACACATTATGCTGAATAAAATAAGTCAATCAGAAAAGGACAAATAGTATATGACTTCACTTAAATGAAAAGGCAAATATATAGAGGTCAAAGTTTATTAGTGGTTACCAGAGGCAGAAAGGGGGGAAAAAGGGTGATGTTAAATAGTGATAAGACAATGATACTGACTAAAATCAAGGCTGCACAGCTGACTATTGCAATTGCTTTCAAGAAACTGGATACCTGAAGGGGAAAAAAAGTAATTGGCAAGACAAATTTACAATAATAACTAAAATAAGACAAGTAGCTGTTGGGAGTGCTCACGTTCAGCAAAAATCCCATGGGATCTGGTTTCTTCGTTTAGGGCCTCTATTTGACTGGAGTAAAGAGCAGCAGGAAGAGGAGGAGGCTGTAGAATGTGTATCTTCACTGCCTTCCTGAAAAACAGCCTCCTTTGCCATGATACTAGAACTGGATGGCGTCTTGCCAATAATGTCGAACATTTTGATCAAAAATACAATAGAAGAATTCCAATCAGAAAGGAGATAAAGCAGAACAGATTTTTAAATGCTCAGGGACTTTGGACTTTATGAGGCCATGGAACTTCTGAAACTATTGCTCCAGGGCAAATTACTTAAACTTAAATAAAAAATACCTCCTGAAGGCTTCTTAAAACCAAATAATAAAAATAAATCTCACATTCATTGCCATTAAGTAGGAACAACCTCAAAGCTGACTGTCCAGTGGGTTTTCCAAGGCTGTAAATCATACTAAAGGAGGCTCATCTTTCTCCCAGGAAAGGTCGGTGAAATCAAACTGTTAGATAAATGTAGCCTTTGTGTTACAGTGTAACTTCCTATGAAGTACAACATCAGAGCTCCCTAAAGCCAAGTAAGTTTAGCTTAACTAAGTAAAGAAGCTCTGTCTTGATTACAGCTCTCTTTCAAAAACTATCTAAATGAGATTAAATTAACAAGAAGAACTCCAAAGATCAAAAAGCTATTTGAAAGATCAAAGATCACACATTGACTGCAACAATGGGTCTGAACATAGCAAGGATCATGAAAATGTCACAAGATAGGGTTCTGATCTGTTGCTCATAAATTGCTATGTGCCACTGACTTGAGTGAGTCGTAACAACATGATGAATATTCTCAACAACTGCAACAAAATAAAGAAAATTAAACAAAGAAAGAAAGTAGTCATTTAAAGAACAAAGGACCACTGGCGAGCTCATTAGTGAAATGATTAAGAAATGCTTATTCTTTTTTAAAAATGGTTTGGCCCAATGACATTTACTTTTATTATCTTTTCATGAAATATTCATAATAGCAACTAGGAAGTGAAGTGGGGGGAACCAACCCACTACACATTTCTAAAGAATACCTCAAAAGAAAAACATGTCTTGAGGACTTAAAAGCTTTC